CTCGCCCAAGTGGTTAACGAGCCGATCAGTGGTGAAGAAGATAAAAGTAAAAGTAAAGATGAAATTATATCTACTCAACACATCCACACAGGCAAATTCATCATCATATTTCTTTCTAAATATTAATAAAATTTTATTGTGGAAATAATTGTTAACATTACTCAAACTTCTAAAGGTTAGGGAGGGCATTGGAAAAATATTGATTTATCTTTACTGTTTCTGTACATGCCAAGTAGAACAGAAGACAGTCAAATAAACCTTATCACAACATTTGAAATTTAATCCTTTTTGGAAAGAATAACTAGACTTCTGTAAACTTTCAAAGTTTTCATCTTTAATTTATTACTGAGATTGCACTTACATGACATGGACTTTTGAATAATATTTGAAAGAAAGGAGAAGAATTTATTGTACAATTTGTACAATTTTGTGTGAAAACCCCTTTGCATTTTTAGCTCACACACAAATTGTTTGACATAAACATGGTGCTGTTTATTGTTGGTGTGACCAGGATGAGTTTTATATCCAGATAACAAGTAAACTTTTGCTTCTTCTGACTACACTTGTATTTCCGTACTCAATGTTACATACAGAAAAAACCCTCAAGTGACTACCTGTACAAATATGGGACTGTTTATCTAGCGTCCCGGTATCCGAAATGCTAAAAAAACTGGCTATGTTCTGGAACGAATAATTTAAAATCAACGCTAAGTAATTTCCAAGCCAAGCAGGAAATTTCCAACTATACCCAACTTGTGAGCTGTATTTTATATTATGGTTATTTTTAATTCATAATTTTGGGTAAATATTCTGTATGTAATTTTCTTAATTTTGTTTACTTATGTTACATACGCACTCAATCTTACTTACAGAAAGTGTCCAAAAAAAAAAAAAAAAAAGTAATACCCTGTACTGTATCTGTGACTATAATAAGGTATAAAGTACAGTACTGTATACTGAATTATTGAACTCATAATTTTGGGTAGATGTAGCTGTATGTATTATATTTTTTTTATTCAGTTACATGCACACACAATCCTATATACAGAAAATGCAAAAATAATTAAAGGAAATAATTATCAAAACATATAAGTTTTAAGTGTCTACAGGTTGTATGGCAAGTGTATGGAGAAGTACAGTAAGAGGGTCCGTGGTGGAGCACCATTGCTATGGTTGCTCCTGCATTGCTAAGATGAGTATCAAGGGTGACTGTAACACATTTTGTAAAATAACCTGCATAATTTTTGCTCTTTTTTATGGTTTCATTAATGCTATTTATATGCTTTTGTTATTGATGTTTAATACCCTAGGCCTGGGCTAGGGTGCCGCTGGCCGTGTTCCCCCACGCGGGGCTAAATCGAGAATAATCAAAACTTTTCCAAGAGTAATTTTAACCCTTTTTAATGATAAAACAATAAAAGAAGTAAGAAAACTATATATTGACCCTCTAGAAACCTCCCTGTAGCAGCGTGGCGAGGGAGATAAGGGACAGTGTTGTTTTGACAGCTGAGGCTCGTGGTCACTACGTACTTAGCAGCCATTTTCTGCTTGCCTTTGTGTCCGGGATGGCCAGTAATGCATATATTTACTGATCATAATACTTATTTGCTATAAATAATTTATTTAGAATACTTTATTTGCATTACTTTTCATAAAAAGTGCTTGTCAACACACACGCAGTCAGTCGCCAGGCTGTCTTTGTGTTTTATAGAGCAAGTAATGCATAAAATATTAATAATTCCACAAATAAATACATTTATAACATAATCATAGCATTATTTTCCAGTAATACTACACTACTTTTCACAATATTATTTTGATACATGATAAAATGGACAAACAATGGATATGAAACAAACAAAAGTAGGTAATTATGTTCAGGAAGCTTCCCTGTGGCTGAGCATGTGGTGTGGCAGGCAAATAGTCACACTGGAACCTGATAATCCATGCTGGGGATTTAAACAGTGGCGGGAAAAGGCACGTGTTCTGGAACGTCACCCAAGGTGCACCGGTCAGGCGTTCTGGTATGTCACCTGGGGCGTAACGGTTAAATGCCTACAATTTTAAGTTTTAATGTTACAGTGTATAATTAAAGCTACTTTTAGGGGTGACTCTATTGATCTGAACAGAGGCTTAACAGCCAGTTAGAGGGTTTACTGTACATTTTAGGCCTGGCGCTCCAAATTCCAGAAAATACCTATCTGGCAACCCCCGGGTCCCAAGCTTGCTGAATAAATACTCCCATACCTGTATAATAGTAAGTTGAATCACTGAACAGTTGCATGTTCAGAACAGCATGAGGTTTGACTTGGGAGTCTCATTATTATTTTATGATTAATCAAGTACTGTACAGTAGTCCCTTGCCAACTGCAGGGGTTGGGATCCTGAAAAACCCTGTGGTTGGCAAAACTAAAAGCTAATGGGAAATAAGGGGTTAGGTTCCATGGTCACAGATAACACTCGTTATAGCCTAACTAAGTTACCTGTCCCTTCACTAAACAAAAACTGTATTGTACATTTAATTAAATTTGAGTCAAATACACATAATATAGTTTAATATAAATTAATAGTAACATAAATTTTACAGTACATCCCGTGAAGATGGCGTGTTGCTATAAAATAAGAAAAATGAAGAGCATGGGTGAGTGTGAAGTGAACTTGTGGACTTGACAGGTCCCCAAGTTTGACTATCCTTGCAGCTACATCTCCCTAGCTCTCCCCGTACCAGACCAAGCTGTTCTATTGTTATTTTTCAACTCATATTTTCAGGTAAATATACAGTAAGTAATTTTATTCATTGGTTTTTTACTGTTACTATATGCAAACACAATCGTTCTTACACAATGTTAAAAAATAAAAGAAATGAGAATAAGCATTTCTTATGTTCATGGGAGTTAGTGTCAGATCATGGAAGGGGAAAGGAGGAGGGTTTGGTGTCAGGTATTTCAGCTTCTCCCTACCAGGCCAAGCTGTGAGCTGCGTTGTTTTTTGTATTTTGTTTTCCCCAACTCGTAGTTTCGGGTAGATATACATAATTTTATTTATATATTTTTTACTGTTACATGCATACACAATTGCTCATACAGAGAGTGTCCCCCCCAAAATAAAAGAAATGTTTATCATAATGCCAAAAACAGAGAGAAAAACATTTCTTACATCCACTGGAGTTAGCCTTTGATTGTGGGAGGGGGAGAGCGCGCTTCTGTCTCCAGTGTCCTTAGTGAAATACTGTACAGTAATTGCCAAATGGCAATGCAGTGTTTCTTTTCTTTTGTTTATTAGTATTATTTTTAATCATTCCTCACATTACGGAGAAATTCATTAAACCGCGGAGGTATAAAGATGCCACACTACTCCATGGATACTCGAAAATCAGTGATGTGGTTGGCGAAATGGTGTAATAAAAACTATGGATACCGGAATTTGCAGATGGGAAATCCGTGATTGGCGAGGGTCTATTGTAGTCTCAAAATTTTGCAAAGTTTGGAAAGAAACCAACAGTGATGGAGTAAATTTGTGGAACAGCAGGAGTAGCCCTCATCCCAATTAGCTACCATGAATTGCCTACATATGCATGTTCAGTAAGTAATATTTATGCAATACCGAACAGACCAGGTGGACCATGTGTTAATCCTTTCACTATGGGGATGTGACTTTTGGTATTTTAGTTGACTAATGCCAGGCAATTTTATTTAGCTCAGAGAGGAAACCATACATGCACTGTAAATGTGAAAGTTAGTAGTCTGTCTCAACAGGTGGTCAACTTCTCAGTGTGCATAATTGGTTGTTCCTTTAACTAAGTTGGTCCTTTTATTATTTATTCAATAATAAACAAATTTAAACATTTCATCTGATTTCCTGCTTATGTCCAACATGGAATGGCAGACCGACTGAGGCTGGCACACTATTTTATAACATAAATAGTACTGTACAGTATATATATACAGTACCTTTGAAAATAACTTACATCATGAAAATTTGATGAGTTAATGCTCAGTAATTATCACATATCTTGAGTTTTATGTGCTGTACTTAATAAAAACGAGTGAAAACTTTCATATCACGTGAGGTACTTAAAATTGTAAACAGATAATCACGTTTCCATGTGTGACAAGTTGATTTGCACAAACGTGTGCAGATTAGAATGGGTATAATTACAAAGCCCTAATTACTGTCCAGTAGGTGGATGTAGACCTGGATATGCAGGCGTGATGATTTTGTCCACAATACACAAATATAACATAAGTTACAAACAAATTATCTCCGTAACTTATGGAGGTTGGCATAATTGTGCAATACAGTATTTCATAAATAACATACAGTACCTTTGTAAGTATTTTAAAATGAGAAGACCTGATGAGTAAATGTTCAGTATCAAAAAGACATCTTGAATTTCGGATACAGTATTTCATTTATAAATGCAAATGAAAATTAACAATTTATTTGAAATACTCTGAGAATTTCAAATAAAAAAATTACCAGTAAGAGATAGGTAGATACTTTTTCACCTTGATTATTCCTTCATTGTGGTGAAGAATGTTGAAAACTTTAAGATAATGAGGCCCCTGACTTAAAGAGGACTCCCATGAAAAGCGATCTTATATCAGGATGAAACAGGTTGTTTTTTGTGGGAAGTAAGGTACAGTAGGGTACTGCATACATTTTGACATATTAAAATACAGTATATGATCCACTGGTTTCACTGCCAAATGCCTAAGTGTACAATTCATGTATTAACATTAACTGTTTATGAAAATGTAAGACCACTGTCATATTAAATTTAGGAACAATTTTATTGAACAAATATATAATTTGAAATAAGGTAGTTTGTGTATATGAGGTTATATTGTACTGTACTGAGAGTGGTGAGGAGAAAGTACTGTGGTGTCAATTAATTTGCGAAACCCAAATTTCCAGCAAAGCAATGTACTACTGTATTGCATAAATCCCTAATATAGCAAATAGGAAAATTTCTATGAAATAATATTAAAAGAAATATACAGACAAGTTCACTTATATTTACATAGTACACTTTTCTTCTCTGACAAATATCAACATTGTCCTTACTTTCAAAGAATTTACATTTTGCATTCCAATATGGACTCTGCAGCGCCGGTACAGTACTAAGTTTTAGATGCAGAGTGCTAGGAAACAGGCTCAGCTTTCCAATCATTCTTGGCATCAGATATCACAATATTCACAATGGTACACAATCCAATATACCAAGTGTGTGGGGGATCACGTGAACAGGTCTCCTGCTGATGGGAGAGGAGCTAGCCCACCCATTCTGATACTGGGTAACTTGGATATATCTGGCAGGTTTTGAAGATGAGCCTTCAGTTCCTCTCTCACCTTTTTTACTTTACCCTGTTTCTGACGATGTTCCTGTAAAAATTAGATTAAATTAGTCATACAACTATAGTAAGATCTTGAATTTACATCTAGTAATGTTTAATTGAAAATCCTAGTTTTATGGGATGAAAGTGACCAGCCATTAAAATCTGAATTTGGCACCCTTTAAATTAAAGGTACTGTGTTTAATACTGTAGCTAAAAACTTAGCAGTGATAAGTGTGAACATAGTACTAGTTTGTGGGTTACAAGTTAAAATGTCCAGAGATAGTGGCTGGAGGTCAGCTGACTGTATAGTGTACAGTTATTTTTTATAATTTGTAAGTATAAAATATATACAAATAAAATTATTGTAATTAGTCATATACAGTACTAATTTGTTTATGAAGGAGATTATATATATACAGGGTATATATATATATATATATATATATATATATATATATATATATATATATATATATATATATATATATATATATATATATATATATATATATATATATATATATATACACAGTTAACCCTCACTTCCTCGCGTTCTGCCCTGCCGGAACCCAGGATGCTCACATTCTGCGGTGCGTGTACCCTTTACGCGGAGAGCGGCTGGCGAGCCGCGCCATTTTTGGATCCAAACCTCCCGCCATCCGCCATGTTGTGTAAGCTGCGCGAAATGGTGCGCACAAGGTCGCCCAGTCATCAAAACATTACCAGTTCTTCACCCGCCACCCACCACAGCCGGCCCAAGTCAGTGATAGTGATAATTATGGTGAGGATATGGACTTATATGGACTTTGGGGAGTTTGACAAAGAGGCCCTGCAAGCCTCTGTGGTGGATAGTGATACAATTGATACAAGTGACACAGGTGAGGGCCAATAATCTGCCCTCTGCCTCGGAACCAACCGCCCATCCCCGTGTGCCCAGCCATTTTTTCTACTAATGTAAGTGTTAAAAACCTAATATTATTGATATTTCTCTTAATTATTAATTGTGTGTGCATACCATCATAAAGTTAAGATAATATTTTTACTACAACATAGTTGTGTGTCGTCAAAAAGTGGAGTTTGGGGATCGGCCCAGACTCCATTTCAATTAATCCCATATGTTATGTTATTCACTTTACGCGTTTCTCACTTTACGCGGGACCCTCCGGGTTACATTAACCGCGTAAAGTGAGGGTTAACTGTATATATAATATTGTTTTGTTTTCCCCCAGGCATCCCCCCCCCAATCAAGGCCTGGGGGCGGAAATATATAACATACGGTAATACTAATAATAAGAGTAATAATAATAAAGAGCCACAAAAATAATATATCAAGAGTGAGAAATGATATATGTATGTTGTGTTGTCAAAGTAAGAGAAACAATACTGTAGTTGAGGAGTCTAAAAGTAGACACTGGGAAAAACAGGTTACTATTCTGCCATGTTTATTATAGGACATGTTTATATCAGCATTTAATATTCCATACCTGGAGGTATAATTATGTGGTTAAGCAACATAATATACAATTTTCTTAGTTACAACAATCTTATTTCATATGTAACATGCATAAATCATCGTTTAATTAATTTTCAATACAAGTTACATCAATCATAATTTATATGTGATGTGTGTATTATCATTTAATAAATTTTCTATTAACTGGGCATATAATTATGTGATTAAACAACATAGCATACAATATTCTAAGTTATAATTCATGACAAGAATGAAGGGGGAAAACGTCAAAATTACGTTTTGAGTAAAATGCGTTCCAAGTTCAGCAAACCATAGAAATATGACACAATGTACTGATTTTTTTACAATTAATTATAATTACCCCTCTAATTACCATTAGTTTATACACGGAATAAGCTAATGAAAATGGTACCACGGTTAGTTCACATATAAGTATGCATAAAGCTATTGCCACCATTGACTGAAAAGTTGGTTTACCTGTATACTGTATAAACCAAAGAAAATGGGAGAAATAATGGAGTGGAAACCAGTGTGTCAACAACACATGGGTGAAGCGCTAGATTGCACGTGCTAGCATGACACTCATTGGCTGAAGGCGGCGGGCGATGGTAGCTGGGAGGTGATTGGCTGTAGCTTTCGCTCTTCCTACTCAATAATCCAAAACTGACATTACACCACGCTTCGGAATTGTGCATCATTTTATTCCTTATACTACCAGGGATGAAGGTTGCTTTTGTCATGGCTCATCCCACCACCTCATTCTACAGGTTTCAGGCTGCGAGGGGAGAAAAAAAGAAAATTGACAAGGTGGGGAGTTTGCCCTTCCTACCCGCGAGGCCTCATAGTTCATATGCTATAACTGTGTTATATTTAACATCTGACATGTGTATGTCATCGTTTGATTAATTTTCTATACCTGGGGGTATACAAAGCTAGGCATCATAGCATGTAATTTTCTAAGCTAAAGTTTGAAATATGGTTACGGTAATAATTTTTTATAAATACCATTAACAAGAAAGATGCCTCACAGGCATATGTGGCTCCAAATTATATCAGAACCTTAATAGCTCCATTTATAACCACTGAATGTCTCTCTGATAAAGTACTCCAAAACTTTGCTATGTCATCATCAATGTCAAAACTCAGCCTTGCCTTGTTGTCATCCTGTAATTCTGCCATTTTGAGCTCAAAAGAGCCTCATTTTTTACATCTGTCTTGAATGGAACTGAACAAAATTAAAAGACTGAGAAAGTAACTCATGGAATCTATTATTGAAATTTTCTGCCATATTTTGTCTGCATCTGTGGGAAGTAGATAGAGTACTGTACAGAGCTGAGAACAGTTGAGAGGTAGGATTGTGGAACTTCTGTTGTGAAATGTGTCATCAGGGCAAACCTGACCTGACTGGACCACAAGGAGAGTAACTACGTTAATCCTTAACCATAATAAATGTTTCCAGCTAAACGAGACAGCGCCTGTCGGCCATGTCCTTCAGGCCTTGATGCCTGGATAAAAAAAAAAAATAATAATTATTAAATAATAAAAATAAATAAATTACTGCAAAAAGACCCAGGTGATTCCAGCGACCCCATGAGCTGTATGGGAGCCCAGCCACTCTATGAGCTCCATGCGACCCTTTATGATGTATCTTGTGACCCCATGTTTGGTAACCGCAGGTCTATACATTCATCTGAGTTTTGTTTCTCGTGCATAACTCATAACACTGTGTAGTACTTATCTCCTTACAAGTTTCCATGGAGGTTAAAATAGTCATAATGGGATGTTTTTTTACTAAAAAGAAACTCAAATTTCAATAAAACATCTTTATTTAGCAAACCTAACATTAAAAAATTAACCTAAAAGATAATTTAGACTTCTACAATAATTAAATATTAAATAAGTTATGTTCGCTTAAGTAGGTCAGTAATAATGCTATGAATTTACAGTTTGTATGATGAGTATTTACATGATCATTCCTAAATACAGACCAGTTTGAGAAAAAAAAAGGGGGGGGGGGGAAGGAGGGGCTATTTTGCTACTCTTAGACATTCTTGGGGACATCCGGGGTGTCATCCGCAAATAATTGAGGGACACGAATTAAAAATCTGCAAATTTGAAGGGCATGCTGTATAAACAAATGAAAAGTGTCCTCACCTCCAGTGTCTCTTCTGCTTGAGCAAGTAAATCTTTTTGGAAAGCTATGTAGTCATGAAGCATGCGAGCCACAGCTTTTCTTGCCTCCATCTCCTCTGCCAGGCGTTTGTTATATGCTTCAAGCATGGATAGTGCTTCTTCCACCTGATCACATAGAGCTCGTCCAGCAGCTAGATCTACCAAACAAAAAGTACATTTAGCTCTAAGTTTTTACTTCCTACCTGAGCCTGAAAACATAAAAGTTCAAGCAAAAATTAGAGGTGGCTGGCAACTCACCAAACAGTAGTCATTTATGAGCAAGGCCATACTTCCACATAAAAGTGGAAAGACTTGTGGCTAATTTTTAACAAATACCATCCCTTGTAAGTTATTCCAAATGAGGTGCTCCTAATATGGTTAATATCAACACAAATTGGCAGTTACTACAGGTAAATATTATGCACTGTATAAGCACAGTTGCAAAATCTAATTGTCATAACACTAGTGACAACGTTTTATGAAAATTGCATAAAGCAATACTCTACCACTTGGGTCTTTTCTTACATGAAATGCATCATTCCACAAGAATCAAGTTATAAATTTCACTGAATATGTATTTTTAATCTCCCTGCTTGTCACCACATATCAGGAAACACTCAGTGGATGTGGGAGAGTGCACTGTTGGCACAAGAGCAGAGTCTCATCAGGCCTATCTGATTAAAAGAACAAATAATCAATTTCTGGGTTTAATGAGGAACTTTCTAACCGAGTTTCACTCTAGATCTGAAGTAACTTCAATTATGGAATTTTCAAGAACAAACACTACAAACTCAGTACCTTGTAGTTTATTCAGAAGATTTACATCAGATACTTCATCAGGAAGATTGGCAATCTTTTCACGAACAAGAGCATCAGATGTGGCTGCATTTTCCAATTCCTGAGGAAGGAAGAAAAATCAAATTAAGAATGATAAAGACAACTGAAAATTTAAAAATCCAAATTAGATTTCATACTGGATAAATATTCAACATGTATAATATGGCTGGTTAGTTAACTACTGTAATAATAATTCAAGATTTAGTTTCTAAAATCAGGTTAGTATAGTAATGCATAGTAAATGTAAAATTTTTATACGTAAGACCAGTGAAAAGGAATTATCAAGCAAATACAACATACCTGTAATAGTACAGTAGTTTCAAATAATTAAATCAATGAACTGATACACCATCTTGCACCACTCTCCCTTACTTCCATGATCCATCCCACACAGTGGAAGAGGAAGATAGATTAAAATATAATTCTGTTACAGGTTTCTATTCCTATATGAAATGTCACAAGTTCACAATCACAGTTAAATTATATTTCACATCCAAATGCATTTCTCCACCCATTCAAATGTGGCATCATGTAAGTCTGGGTGCACCTCACCTGGCCCTTTTAGAGACACACACGAGGCAGGCTGCAGGGACATCATTATTCACTGTACAGTATAATCTAGTTATACAATATGTTTAGACTGTGTTGCCGTGCTTCATGCTCCAGGTTATAAGTTCTGCTCTGTGGTAGCCCCTCTGTATATTAGTTGTGCATGTACTGTACTGTATTACAATGGCTCCAAAGTTGAGATCCCATTTTCTAGCTGAGATGTAGACACGTGTATTACATCATTGTGCTGGCCTTATGTGGGGTATACTTCACCCCAGTGGTAGCTGGTGACTGATATTTTGATCATCCATCCCTCCTTGTCAGAACCATTACCCTCAGAAGATGATGATTAGAAGTCTATCTTAGACTTGTAGTGTACAGTCACACTAAAGATGATGAACGGTACAAACACTAATATTTACCCCCTCGCACTCTCTATTTTTAATTTCAGTGAGCACCCTGAAAGGGTTAATTATATTCCTTTGAGCCAAGGTACTCTATTGCTTCATTATTTCATTATACAGTATGTGTACTTTATATATTTTCCTCTATAATTGTTATTATTTTTTCTAAGGATGGATTTTTAAGTGTTTTTTGGTTTGATGAAGTGTTTAAGTTTTCCTTTTAAATTAATGGGAAAAGCTTTCCCAATTCATGAAATTTCATTGTCTGGAATTCATCCCTCTCACAAATAGAGGAATAAACAGTAATATCTCCCTTAGCCGGAATCCCTCAAACCTGTACTCTCCGATAGCCGGAATTGAAATTTTCTCGGAAAATAGTTCCCAAAGCCAGAAATTTCTGTAAAATTCCAGCTTTGGGAACGATTTTCCGAGGGGCACATTTTCTGGAAAATTCCAAGAAAATTTTCCCGATACCAGGAAGATTCCGGAAAATTCTGGGGATGGAGGAGTTTTTTCTGGGTTTGAGAGATGAAAATCGGGCGCATTTTCTGGAAATTCCGAGAAAATTTTTCCATTGCCTGGAAAATTCCAGGGATGAGGGATATTTTTCCGGGTATGAGAGATGATGTAATGGGCAATTTCTGGAACTTACGAGAACATTTTTCTGTTATCAGAAAAATTCCGAGGATGAGATATTTTTTTCCGGCTTTGAGAGAGTCGTCTCATTACCCGGAAATCTCTCATTCCCGGAAGTGCTCTGCACCAATTGTTCCGGCTAACGGGGATATCACTGCAGCTGGTTAAGTTACTGTAGAAGATGGCCAATTAGAACTGGAGCAAATTTGACCAGCATCAATGAGGAGTTACCTGAATAGCTTCAATCAGCTGCTCTGGCTCAGGAGGATCACTGGGTGGTGTAGATGACTGGGGTGAGACAGCAAACTGGGTCAAGTCACCCTCGCTATCTCTACGCAGCCGGGATTCAGGCGTCGATGGCTGAATGGCGTCGCTTGCACTATCCCTCCGCTTTTTGCTTTGTGGATTATCGTGTTTTCCTGTATGGTGGATCCAAAAGAAAATCTATAAAAAAATTAATTCAAGTGGCACAAACAAAGTGCAGTAATGTAAACAAAACAAAAGAATATAGGAAGTCTAATGGAAATTGTTGTACAGGTACTGTGCTTATGTTAATGGAGACAAGCTCGTGTAATTTTCAGTTTCTATATTGAGAGGCTAAAGACTGAAAGCTTGTAACATAAAAGTTACTGGAAAGTCTTCAAGAATATTAAAAGTACTTAAAATTTTTCTATGCCAAGAGTGAAAAGGTGTGGACATAATCCTCATTTCAAAAAGATCTTACAATCCCAACTTATTGTTGTAATGTAGGAATTAATTTAATAACACTTCCCTCACAATACAGCATATCCACAAGTGTAAAGTCAATCCACGGGTGGTGGCCGCCGTCCCTACAGCTAACTTCATTGACCGTGGCTGCCATATAGAGGTACAGTAGGCCCTTGAAATTCACGGGGGTCAGGTTCTCAAAATGGCCGTGAATCACCAAATAACATTTGCTGGCGGGGGGAGGGGGGGGGGGTAGAAATGTATACATATTCCCTTTATGAGTTTGCTCTTAGGACAATTATTCAATTATTTCCTTTACACACAAAACACATACAGATAAATAATAATGGGAAAATCTTCTCAAAAATAATCAGAAACAAAGGTAGTATAAAAAATTTGAGTCTACCCTCAAGTCTACTCCATGCTTTGTTATTAATAAAGCATGGAGTAGACTTTATTATTTGTGAGAAGATTTTTTCATTTGTATTATTTATCTGTATGTAGTGTGTTTGTGTGTGTGTCTACATACGCACACATATATACAATACAGGTAAAGGAAATTACTGTCTCTAGAATAAATGGCTCCCTGTACTTGCCACGAAAATGACGGCAACTTTAAAACTACCCGCAGACATCCAGGGTGTCATTCGCAAATAATAGAGGACGGCGAAATAAAAATCCGCGAATTATCCGGGCGTACTGTAAATAGGCGTCCTAGAAGCACAGTTCATCTGGAGTATGATCAGTTGAGTCCATACAAGAGGAGAAACAAGAGTAAACAGGGCTTACCACCAAGCTCTCGTTTTCTGCTATTGTTTTCCTTCGACTTCCCATGTCCTTTATCTAGGAAAGAAAGAAAAGAATTCAAGGTATTAATACATCACTCAGCATGTTATGGACAAGTGAAAGTTGAATGTTTTAGTTTCTACTTCTAAATCCTGACAGCCATTTTCTCATTAAGACCCTAAAACAACAATCTAGTCAATACGTAGTTTTTTTGTATATACAGGTGTGTGTGTGTGTGTGTGTATATATATATATATATATATATATATATATATATATATATATTTATTTTAAATCCATATACGCGACTTTGAACATAATTAATTAATTACCAGCAAGGAATCGGGTGTCTCATTCTTGCTGGTGAGGTCATGATTATATATATATATATGTATATATATATATATATATATATATATATATATATATATATATATATATATATATATTTTTTTTTTTTTTTAAACCCAGGGTTCTAAGGACCCAGACATACAACTGGAACTAATCCAAAAATTATTCAACTCTTTCCCACCATATCAAGCTACTATACATTTACCCTGAAGGATACAGAAGTGCAGTTACTACTAAAGGCAGGAAACAATGACTCTTATTATTATACTAGCACTGGTGCACTATAAGCTGGGTGGGTATACAGTAGGCATAATTAGAAGAGGGCGACTCAGATTTCAGTGAAAATTGGGTGAATCACCAAATTGCTCCCTAATGAATAACTAAACCATCAATTGACTATCAAAGCCTCTAAGTTATTTCAATGTGTCCAAAAATCAAACATCAAAGAACACATAACAATCTCTCAGAAAAGAATTCAAGTGTTAATTTGTCCTCTTTATGGCAAAATAACAAGAGTGCCTTCAATCCAACTTCCAAATTGGAACTTCCCTGAATTCTAATCCAGACTAAAATGGAATATCCTCTTAAACTGTAGATCAGACTTTGTTGCCAACAAAAACAAACAAAAATGAGCTGCTGAACTGTGACCTACAAGCACAGCACCAGGTGGTGTCAGTCCTGTATACAGGTATCCCTCTATTTATGATGGGGTTAGGTTCCTGAAATACCCATCGCTGGTCGAAATATCATAAATTGGGATCATTATAACAAGGGGTTCAATGGGATACATTCCCAGCCAGTCAGACACCCACCCACATGTATCACTGAAAATAAAATTCCTACACGAACACAATTAAACTACACTCATTACATCATTAAGAACAAGTCTAGTCATCATTACATGTCCCCTTCGAGGCTAAGGGGACTCTCGAAGGTGGAGTGGAGACGTCACTCTGACTCCCACAGTCTCTGGGGAGTTTCATGCCACTTCACAATGTCAAGTTTCACCAACAATAATCACCCTTGTAACAATATAAAATACAGTATTGTGAGGAAGGTGTACACAGACCAGAGCGAGCCAAGAAACGTCCATCCAGTTCGCTCAAGTGATTGAAACTAAAGTGTTTAACGTGGTAATGAGATGATGCATCTGAGCAGAGAGAGTTGCAGAGCATATAAGTGCTAGTGACTGACAGACTCATGCTTTTAGCTTTTAGTGATAACTTCTATTACCTTATCTACCAGGTTTCTCCTCAAGATTCCCAGATATGACATGTAATTTTGGGGATTAGTTCCAGTCGCATGTTTGGGTACTGAGAATTCTGGGTTTGTAACCTACAGTACAGATTCAGTGACACAATCATTGCAAGTTTATAATATTTAAACAAAGAAAACAGCAGGGGTGTATATTCTCCTACAAAATTCTATCTTTTCCCCAAAGTAAAGAAAACTATTTTATGTACAACCCATCCCTACATACTTCACTGTAAAAAGTATAAGGGTCTTCAATTGTTAGTTTTACCAGAAAAAGGTTATCTTTGATAATTTACATCTTCCCAACCTACATTATAAATTCTACTACATTCTGTCTATTTTCTTAATAAAGTCTTTGCAATGTAGGTAAAAACCTGGTCCTTGGTGTCCTGTCTCAGTTTTTGTTTTCAGGTTACTTGATGCAAGCTTTTTATCCCACTACAGGTACCAGTACAATAATTGTACAATATACTGTATTTTATTTCATATATAATGTAAAATCACTTTGTGTACAGGCACATGAAACATGATACAGTCAGCATCCCCTTTGCATACATGATGCATCCCTGAAGACCAGTACGATAACTAGACATTAATTCCCGCAGACACTTGTGTTATAAATTGAGATACGTCCCAGAACATTCCTCGGATGGTACCTGCAACTCTTCCTAATTTCATCTGGTTCCTTAACTCCATTCCTGCCATCTCTAAATAATTTGATAATTTCTGTTTCTAACAACTAAGCTATTTACCTAAAACTTTTTCATTAAATTCCTTAATCAGAGGCATCCTCCAATTTATAAAATGGTTCCATTCCTGAGAAACCACTCATAAATTGGTATTTCATGAATTGAATGCGATTTTCCCACTGACTTCCATTATACTGTTCTGTATAAATGGAGATACAGTACCGTATATTCATAAGAAAAAAAATCTGACAAAATTTACTTATAACAACATTTAGACTTTTTTTAAGTACAGTACACTTATAATGGGAAACTAGATTTATATTATAAATCAATAATGCTACAGTACAGTATAAGCACAATGGTTCATTAGAAAATTAAAAAGAATGCTTCCAAAAATATGAGGTTTAACCTAAAAATTATCTTGGTATGTTTGCAGAGTAAGTAAAGTAAATGTTACATAATAGCAGTGCAGTTACTGAGAGACTACACCATGGAACCAGTCTCTCTTAACCACTTTTTTTTTTCATTCCAGTAGTGAAGCACCAGCTAATGTTCCCTTACTGTACAGTTAGAATCAAAAGTTTGCTCCCCCCTAAAATGAAGCAGCATCAACCCCAAATGAGATAAAACAGCACACCCGCACCAGATGACATGACGTCAGGGTAAGTAAGTTCGGAGACTCACTCCCGTGACTCAGTTTCACCACAGGGAGTGAACTTTTGTCCCCACCTGTACATACATTATGATACACACCCAGTAATTATATCCAGTAAAACTACTGGATATGATTTCTGGGTTCGGGTTTAGCTGAATATTGAATGTTACAGTACACAAATTCATCTAACATTTTATATTGTACACTAATATTTATTTAGCATATTTTCTCCTCCGACAACAGCTAACATTACGGGAGAATGTGAACACCGTTCCTACCACAGCCAAGATTCCTGGGTTGCCTTCTGGTTATTTGACCCCTGTATCAGTGTAGTGAGCCAATATAACTGTACAGTCCTGTATAACACTTGCAATAGTTATTTTTCACTTACAGTACAGTTGAGTCTGGATTTACGTGGTTTTGGTTTACGCGTTTTGTCATTTACGCGGTGCCATGCCAGAATTGAAATGCTTGATTTACGCGGCAAATTTGGTCATTTACGTGGGAAGCGGCACGGGCAGGGTGCGCACAAGGTCGCCCAGTCATCAAAACATTACCGAGTTCTTCACCCGCCACCCACCACAGCCGGCCCAAGTCAGTGACAGTGAGGATATGGACTTATATGGACTTTGAGGGGTTTGACAAAGACGCCCTGCAAGCCTCTGTGGTGGATAGTGATACAATTGATACAAGTGATGCAGGTGAGGGCCAATAATCTGCCCTCTGCCTCGGAACCAACCCCCCATCCCCGTGTGCCCAGCCATCTTTTCTACTAATGTAAGTGTTAAAAACCTAATATTATTGATATTTCTCTTAATTATTAATTGTGTGTGCATACCATCATAAAATTAAGATGTTATTTTGACTACAAGGTATGTATTGTGTCGGAAAAAGTGGAGTTTGGGGGTCGGCCCAGTCTCTATTTCAATTAATCCCATATGTTCTGTTATTTCATTTACGCGTTTTACGTGGTACTCCGCGGGTTCAATTGACCGCGTAAATGAAGACCCAACTGTAATTAATTTTAGTTTAATTTTCCTTATACATTATCAATTATTTCATGTTTAGTGAAATACTGGAGGCTTACAGAGAAATAAATCTTTTTCTGTGTAAAGTATAGAATGTCAAGAGTTAATTTTGTAACTGAAATTTTGCTTCGTCTGGCAGCACCGTGCTGATGTAACCGTCATGGGTGTCTTTTTGTAAAATTTGAATTGTGCTTTCATCTCTTTTTATGGAAATTACACGATATGTACAGGTATCCCTCGATACATGAACGTTCGAGATGCGAAAATTATCTTACACAGGGGGTCCCCGACTTAGAAATGAAATTCCATATACAGTATTACCCCGCCTAACGCGGTTTCACTTAACGCGTTTTATCATATACGCGGTGCCTCGCCAGAGCTGAACTTTCACTTAACACGGATTTTTTCCACATATACGCGGTGAGTGTCCGGCTCGAGACGCTATTTTTAGATTTGCCCCACCCTGCCTGACTGCCTGTTTTAGCTCATAAAATTCATACAAATTACCCGGCCAGAATATAATTTACATTGCTGGAATTCTTATAATTTGGTGATCATTTTGAATATAAACATCATATATTTTGCATTAGACATACAAATTTTAGATAAAAAATTTTCTCAGAGTAACTATGTTATCTTTTGTGCAAAATATATGACATTTATATTCAAAATATTCCTGGTCTTACAAGGAATCCAGCAATGTCAATTATATTATCCTAACTTTAGTTTGAGGTATTATTTATTAAAATTTAGTGGTTATCCCACACATCTCCTTGGGACGGTTGGTGGGGGGTGGGGGGGAGGGAGGGACCGACCGACCATCTGTTACCCCGTGAAGAATTATTATTTTTTTTTATTAACTGAAGATATTTGTTTTAGCTCATAAAATTCATACAAATTACCCGGTCTGAATATAATTTACATTGCTGGAATTCTTATAATTTGATGATCATTTTGAATATAAACATCATATATTTTGCATTAGACATACAAATTTTAGATAAAAATTTTTCTCAAATTAACTATGTTATCTTTTGTGCAAAATATATGACATTTATATTCAAAATATTCCTGGTCTTACAAGGAATCCAGCAATGTCAATTATATTATCCTAACTTTAATCTGAGGTATTATTTAATACTAAATGTTAAAAACCCTGGAAGGGAGGATTGGTGGGGGGTGGGGGGGAGGGTTGGGACTGACCGCGCGGTTGGAAGAGGGGGGGAGGCAAGGTGGGGTACTTTGATTGACAGATAGTGTCGTGAAGATTATTTTTTTTTTATTAACTGAAGATATTTGTTTTAGCTCATAAAATTCATACAAATTACCCGGTCAGAATATAATTTACATTGCTGGAATTCTTATAATTTGGTGATCATTTTGAATATAAACATCATATATTTTGCATTAAACATACAAATTTTAGATAAAAAATTTTTCTCTAGGTAACTATGTTATCTTTTGTGCAAAACATATGACATTTATATTCAAAATATTCCTGGTCTTACAAGGAATCCAGCAATGTCAATTGTATTATCCTAACTTTAGTTTGAGGTATTATTTATTAAAATTTAGTGGTTTTCCCCCAAAAATTTCTCTGAGAGGGAAGAGCCGGCAGTGTAGTGTGAGAGGGGGAGGGAGTTGAGTCCATTATTTGAATGGACATTAACTTGGCGACTGTATTTCTCTATTTCTCTTAAGTATTAATTGTGTGCATGTACCATCATAAAATTAAGATGTTATTTTTACTACAACATAGGTATGTGCCTTCAAAAAGTGGAGTTTGGGGGTCGGGCCGGTTTCTATTGGAATTAATCCCATATGTTCTGTTGTTCACTTAGCGCGGATTTCACTTAACGCGGGACCCTCTGGGTTCAATTGACCGCGTTAAGTGGGGTACAACTGTATTTATAAAAAAAATCGGCTTCAACTTATGGCCATTTGCTGGTGCTTATGAACCGACACTAGTTTGGAACTTTAACACTGCATTTTCTAGACTAGGTAAGGCTAACACACTAATTAAGCTGTCTGTTTCAGGGGAAAATTTCTCCAACAGTTATTAGGTTATAGTATAGTATCACATTTTAAACTCACAACAGCATAACCTAGTCAATCTCACAATTACAAAATGGAAAATTTGGCAATGAAATGTTGAATCAGCAAACTCGTCATCATAATCACATTCCTCATTCCCCAAGATTCCATCTGTAATATGCATCATCACTGGAAATTATTATTATTAGTCAAGTCCCCCAAATAAAAATAAACAAATTCTGAACTTCCCCTTTATTCCCTCTAAATTAATGTCTTGTTTGTCTCCCTTCTGAATTAAAATCCTGACCATGTTAATGCCTTTCTCTAGGTGAGGAAGGGAAGATATACAAAAATGAAGTGCCACTATATTTACTCTACCCAACTCATTTACTTCCCCTTAGAATCTATTCATTAAATAGAAAGAAAAAAATAAATATATAAAAGGGGAAGAAGAGCAACAAATTTTTTGTCTCCTCTTTCCTTTCTCATCCCTTCCCCAAGGAAATGCAAACACCATAAAAGGATTCCCTCTCCTTTCTCAGTTTGCCTGATCCTTACCTTCCACTTCTCCCTACCCTTACTTGTGGCAGGGTAAGGGAAGACAGGAGATAAGAGAGGGAGTTACCTGTGTTTTAAATTTTTTTAAATCTTTCTCTCATTCTCATCCCTTCCCCTCCATACTACTATACTTTCATTCCTTCCCTGAGAAAGAGGAAGTACAAGGTATGTTACCTTATCATTCCTTCTACATTTTCTACAAATTTTCTGCCTTTCAACCTACCCTTGTCCCTTCCTCTTCTCTTCTTCTCTTTCTTCTTTCCTTCCCTTTCCTTTCTTCCCCTCTTTTCTTTCTTTTCCTTTATCACGTCTCTGGGTGCTATCTCTTCCCCAAACAATATAGGGGAATCTGGAAGAATATACACCCCTGTAATTAAGTTATTTTAACAATAATGTTTTATTAACCATAATTGGGCCTTCAATATAGTCAAAATACTTTGGTAAATAAATTCAAAATCATCATCTCTGGTAAGATGAGGGAGGAGATGAATATAAACCCTGATTCATTTGTAACAAGCAAAAAATGTGGACTTACTTAGATTCTTTTTGAATAACTTGATGTGGTCAGCATCAAATACGCTCCTATCCTCCCACACATTGAGTAATCTGTTGAGTCCTCTTAAAGATTTCTCATCCAAGCGCAGAGCTCCCAGATGTTCAAACACTTTGCCTAATTTGCTGCCAAACTCCTTGTTGTACTCTGGCCCTTTTTTCTTGCTATTTTGAATCACATCATTTGCCAGGTACATGAAAGTGAGTTTACGAGAATCTGTAGCTGAAAGTAAAGGAGAAAAAAGCTCAAGACCTAAATCAGTTCTGATTAGAGGAAAAAATATATATAGTACTACTGTACAGTACAGTATATAAAATGGTTATTCACTGTAGAGGATGTAAATTTTTCCCAACAGGAATTCTACTACGTACTAATTTACAATAATCCTTCTCTAATTGCAGGGGTTACATTCTAGAATTCTCCCGTGGTTGGCAAGAGCTGGGTCTAATAGGGAAGTGACCCCTGAGAGACATACAGTACCTAGACATATAATGTACAGTACAGCTCAAGGTTAAAATCAAATAACCTGTACTGTACAGTGTATGCTATACTTAAAAAGAAAATTATTATACAATGCACTGTGCGGATATTAAAAACTGTGTAATGGAGCAGTCCCCTCACGATGCTGCCCACTTGCCCTTCATGTACTCCTTACTAGTGCTACAGTTCCTAGCAACACAAAGTGTATACTGTACAGTACAGTATGTAACTTTCATACTTTATAAGATTTTAATATGCAAATATGTATGAACAATACATTTCCAAAAAATTTTGTTTCGTGATACGAGGTCATTTGCGTAAGGGCATAAAACATACCGTACACGTAAGAGCTGGGCCTATTAGAGGAGGTATGTGTCCACATCATACGTCTGGCAGCTGCACTTCTCAGTTATCCTAAACACAGGCCCTCATGGATGTACTGTAGCATGTGCCTTTGTGTTTATTTCTCTTCTTTATTTTCAGTTTTATTCTATTTTATTACAGTACTTACTTATACAGGTTCCTCTACATTGGACACAGAAAAATTTAAAATCTTCAAAACATAGAATACTGTATATTATTATACTATTTAATATAAATATGCACTTTACAAAGAAATGTATAACACCATCTAGATGATTTACTTTCCATCAATTTGGTAAAAATAAATGCATTTTTATATTACAGTAGTAGTAATGTATTTAGAATATATTTTCTCAATGCTGTAAAGGTATGAACACTTTGGCTCAGGCTGCACCTGGACCGCTATGGGTGTGGCTGTCTATTGCCAAGATAGTGGAATGCTATAAAGCTTATAATATAATTGATGAAAATAAGCTCACTGACTTAATGAGGTTTGAGGAGGAGGACTTGGACAATACAAGTATTATTTAATACAGGCAGTCCCTGAGTTACCAACACCCAATTTACGAACTTCCATGTACTTATGAATGGGATTCCAATATATTCTTCAAAAAAATTAGTAATGTACAGTAGGGTCAGAATATATCGCGAGACAGGGTCCAAAGATGTTCGCTATATACTAAATCGCGATATATAATTATAAGTAATCAATGGTGAAAAGAGGGTAAGGTTCTGCAGGCCAAAAAAAATTACTAAACTTGACATAATGAGTTCATTTTCTGACTAACTAAAGCACCAATGAACACTAGACTCAGAACAACAGGCTATTTCAATACAGTATCAAGGAACATCAGACTCGGCTACTGACACACCATTCTGGGAACACCAGACCTGGCAGTAGACGCCACACTGCCACCCTCACTTGACAATCCCACACCTACATAAACGAACAACAAAAATATTAGTTACAGTTTTAAATCTTTTCCATTTTCTTCACTTCACTTTTCACGTCACTTGCAACCCATTTACACTCGCTTTAGAAAATGGAATCTGCACCAGACTCGGCAGCTGACGCGCCATCCTGATAACAACAGACGACACACTGCCACCCTCACTAACAATCATAAACGAACAAACCAAAAATATTAGTTACAGAATTAAATCTTTTCCATTAAGCTTTCCATTAACTTCACTTCACTTTTCACGTCACTAGCAACCCATTTACACTCACCTTAGAAATCGTAATCTGCAACAGATTCGGGTGCTTTCTCGTCACTCTCAGAAAGACTGAGCGGCCGAGCATGAATGAGTGAGGGAGCAGCCATGGTGGTGCCTCTGGCGAGCAAATAACGCACTTATTTGCCATGGCGGTAAATTTGAAATATTTCCTGTCCGATTTCCCTCGCGAAATAAAAAAATTATCGCTATACAGTATATAGGAAAATGTCGATAATTTTGGTAGCCGCGATATAAAAAAAATCATTATATAAAGTAGCGATATATCCCGACCCTACTGTATAGTAATTGAAATTGTATTTTTTATATTACAGTATATACCGTAGTATACTTTATATTGTTTAACATCACTTTATTTTTAATATATATATATATATATATATATATATATATATATATATATATATATATATATATATATATATATATATATATATATATATATATATATATATATATATATATATATATATATTATATATATATATATATATATATATATATATATATATATATATATATATATATATATATATATATATATATATAACGCGCCTCGATTAACGAAATTTCGGTTAACGAACTGCCTTCCATATGGATCTTCAATTCGGTTAACGAACAAAAATTCGGTTAACGAATTTCTTACGAACCGACCTCAACATGTTTTCGCTTGCACTGACCGGGCAACCAGCTTTAGTATCAGTCCGCCAATACATTAATCGGTTCTAGGGCTTAAATTCCTTATTATTTTAGTAAATATCAAGAAGTTTATACTATTCAATAATTTTAAAAGTTTAATATTCAATTTTTTAGTCATTTTAACAATTATTGAACATAATTGAAGGTAAAGTGACTAGTTTAATGCGCGGCATCCAGCCTCTTAACACAGCAAACAGGCGTTAGTCTCTCTGTTTTCACTGGAGGTAACATCTTGCTTGAGACTCACTTCAACTAAATGCTTTTTTCTGTGTTTCCAAGCAAATTATTGGTCATTTTGAAATATATTTTACATATTGACAATATATAATGCAGTGCAGTGTTGATTAAAGAAAATAATCTTGAAATACACCAAGAGAACTAAAATTTTATGGGTGAAATGGTGCCATGGGGTGACTTCTCTTCTTCCTTCTCCTCCACCCCCATTCTAATTCCCATCATCATCATCATCATCCAGGAGCCTTCTACATACACACCTCAAAGTAAGTGAACTTTTCTACCATTTTTGTTGAATTTAGGCAATTTTCGGTGAGCTGGAACCAATTACCCATTGAAACAATGGTTTAGGTTATGAAACGACCTTCTGGAGGATTGAGTTCATTAACGAGTCACTTATATATATATATATATATATATACAGTATTACCCCGCCTAACGCGGTTTCACTTAGTGCGTTTTCGCATATACGCGGTGCCTTGCCAGAGCTGAACTTTCACTTAACACGGATATTTTCCACATATACGCGGTGAGTGTCCGGCTCGAGATGCTATTTTTAGATTTTGCCCACGCGCCACCCGCCCGCCTGCCTGCCTGTGCTCCTCGCCTCTCCCTCCTCCTCCCTCCGCTTGGGCAAGCCGCGCGGTCAGGTTGCGCAGTGTGTCTTTGTTGCGTTATCACTGACGTCATATGACGTATCGGACTGTGATTGGCCATGCATTCCTACCCCCCTCTGCTGCTAGCTGTAATTGGCTTAAAGTATTATGACGTGACCACCCCGGGGAGGGAGGGAGGGAGGAGAGACGATGCTTGACCTAGCTGCGGCAGTTTGATCCCTCAAGGCCACACCGTGTTAACGCGCATCCATTGTTCCGTAAAATGGCTTCCGCCGGACCACCATCGCCCCCAGAGAGAGACCTTTCCTTACCTCGACCCAGCGGCACTAAGCCAAAGAAGACACGACGTTCATTAAGCTACGAGGTGAAGTACCAAATTGTTCAAGATTTGGAGAAAGGAAGACGGCAAGTTGATCTCGCGCGCCAGCATGGCGTCAACGAATCTACGATTCGTACGATCAAGAAGGATGCAGCCAAGATCAAAGAGCACATGAAAATCACAAAGTCTGCAGGTGCTTCATCTATCAGGTATTGCTAGAACAGGGTGCTGGCAAAAGTGGAAAATTTGCTGGTGAGTTATTTGGTGCGTCAGGCGCGACGCAACATGGCGGTGGACACGCGCTCAGTGCAGGAGTACGCACGTGAGCTATACGCAGCAGTGACACGTAAACTGGGAATTGCAGAGCCCAAACCCTTCAATGCTTCCTCTGGTTGGCTGCATAGGTTTAAGAAGAGGAACAAGATCACCAACATCAACATTGGTGGTGAGGAAGCGAGTGCTGACCGTGTGGCGGCTAAAGATTTTCCTCCGTTTTTACGTGAGATTATGGAGGAAGGACAGTACAGTGACGACCAGGTGTTTAACATGGACGAATCTGGTCTTTTCTGGAAAAAGTTACCTTCCAAGACCTTCGTTGTCCAGTCTGCCAGCAAGGTAAGGGGTCGGAAGTTGCAGAAGGAACGCATCACCGTCCTGTTTACCACCAATGCCTCCGGTACCTGTAAACCAAAGTTATCGGTGATTCACACAGCCCGCAAGCCGCACGCCTACAAGAATATGGACATGAACAAGCTTAATGTCCACTGGCTAACCGCACGTAAGGCGTGGATGTCCTCTTCTCTGTCCCTCTTCTGGTTTGACAACTGTTTTGTTCCCGACGTGAAGAAATTATGCAAGCAACAGAATGTTCCATTCAATATTTTGTTGCTCCTTGACAACGCACCTGGACACTCGCCCCTACTTATGGATCGTCACCCCAACGTAAAAGTGGTCTTCCTTCCTCCCAACACTCCGTCATTAATCCAGCCCATGGACCAGGAGTTGATCTGCAATGTGAAAGCTGCGTACTCTGCAAAGAAGTTCAAGCTCCTGAACGACTCTACCAACACCAAGGATGAGTTGCGTAAGCTGGGTGACACCGACAGCGAGAGCAAAAGCGACGAGGACAAGGAACAAGAGGCGGTGACTCAAGAACTTCTCGTCAAACAATTTTGGAAGAAGTTTAACGTTAAACAAGCTGTAGACTTCTTGGTGGAGGCATGGGATCTGCTGACTATTGCTACGATTCGTCACGCATGGAGACATGTGTTGCATAGCATACCAGGTGAGAGGAGGAGTGAACCTGTGACTGGTGAGGTTCAGACTGTTGCAGTAGCAGTGGACCTTGCCAGAGAAGCTGCGCTCAATATTACAGCTGAAGGCTTCTCCGAGACCACCAACGAAGACATCCTGGAGGTGATCAGAGATCCTGAAGTGACTGCCGACGAGATGTTGGAAGAAGAACACGCCAGTGAAGAGGAGGAAGAAGGTGCGTCATTCTCCGAAGAACCTAGTTTAAGTCATAGTGATATTAAGTGTGCCATAGAGTTTGCAGAAAAAATTAAGTCCGTCCTTTCCCGCGACAATGACGATGAACGCTATGAAGTCTTCCATACCCGACTGGTGCAGGCTATGGAGCCGTACATCACGGTGTATCATGACAACATCAAAGCCAGCCGTCAGCAAAGCATAACCGAGTTCTTCGCCCGGAACCCACCACAGCCAGCCCAAGCCAGTGATAGTGAAAGTGAAGTTGACTTTGAGGGATTTGTCAGGGAAGCCCTGACAACTGTAAGTGACAGTGATGTTGATTCACCTAGTAATGTTGATTCACCTGAGGGCCAGTAATCTGCCCTCTGCCTCGGAACCAGCCTCCATCCCCGTATGCCGACCCATCTCTTCTACTACCGTAAGTGTTCCACCTAACTTTTAGTTTCTCTAAGGTAACCTTCATTTTTCCTATGTTAACCTTTATCTTTCCTAACCTAACCTCTTCTATATTACTTGTTTTTTCATACCATCATAAAGTTAAGATAGAATTTTTACTACAACATAGTTATGTGTCGTCAAAAAGTGGAGTTTGGGGGTCGGGCTGGTTTCTATTGGAATTAATCCCATATGTTCTGTTGTTCACTTAACGCGGATTTCACTTAACGCAGGACCCTCTGGGTTCAATTGACAGCGTTAAGTGGGGTACAACTGTATATATATATATATATATATATATATATATATATATATATATATATATATATATATATATATATATATATATATATATATATATATATATATATATATATATATTATATATATATATATATATTATTTGTTATATATGGGCAGGGTTGTATTTTAATTTAACCTAACCTATGGAAATAACACTGTTCTGACTTACGAACAGGGTCTAGGAATGTAACCCATTCATAATTTGGGGACTGCCTGTACTTCAGATCTCTTGTGCACCTAACCAACTACTTTAGATTAGTTCTATATAGAAGAAAACTTTTTTATTTCCCCAAGAAAATTACAAATAAAAAAAAGAATGTAATTATATTTTTTTTCCGTGGGTTTTCTTTTGAATAATAGACATGTATATGTCATCCACCAACCACCACTGTTGTTAATATACAAACACTTAACAGCAACAAAACACACACAACAACTGCAACACTATATCATAAGTCTACACTTACCTGACCTAACCTACCAATCCAATCTATATAAAAGATTTACATCATTGTTAGGCTTAGGTAGGTAGGTCAGGTTGATTGATATTATCTCAGTGTAATGATAAAATGTAGCAGTCGCTGAAGTACTTGCATGGAGAGGCTGCAAAATTATCAGTTTTGGTGTGTCAGTCATGGTTAGTATTACCAAAATACAACCTTCATCTCATACCAAGGCTGATAACTTCTGCCAAAAGAAAGCGATGGCCCAGAGCAACCTTCGCTATCAAAAGGACGAATTGTGGAAAAATAAAGCATGTGAAATGCAAAAATTTGCAGATCAACACAAGATGTGCAAAATTTTCAATTCCACTAAAGTAATTTATGACCCCACAACTCATGGTGTGGCCCCCCTCCGCTCATCTGACGGTAATTCCCTAATTAAAGACAAGGAAAGCACCCTCAGCGCCGGAAAGAGCACTACCATTCCCTGCTCAACCAAAACACTGATGTAGATGTCCTGACTACCCAAAAGGTCCCTCAGCACCCAGAGCTCACCCAACTCGGCTATCCTCCATCCCATGATGAGGTCCCTACTGCCATCAAGCAGATGAAAAATAACAAAGCCACAGGGCCTGATGTATAAAGCAGGAGGACCTCTGCTTACCAGCTGTCTTCACTCTATCCTGGAGGATAGATGGGAACAGGAGGAAATCCCCCCAGGATCTTAAAGACGCCTCCATCTTCAATATTTATAAGAACAAGGGAGACCGGTCCGACTATGGGAATTACCGCGAGATCTCGCTGCTGTCCGTAGCCGGCAAAATTATTGTTTAAGTCCTCCTAAACAGACTTCTTCCTGGGGCAGAAAACTTCCTCCCAGAATCTCAATGTGGCTTTAGACCTTCACATGGCACCACTGACATGATCTTTGCTGCCTGCCAGATACAGGAAAAGTGCAGAGAACAGCATTGTGACTTGTACATGGCTTTCATCGACCTAACCATGGCCTTCGACTCTGTCAACAGGGAAACCCTCTCACAGACTCTCAGGCACTTGGTTGCCCACCAAAATTTATCACCATTGTGAGGCAACTCTACAAAATCATGAAAGGCAGTGTCTTGCACAATGGCACCCAGTCTGAGTTCTTCCCTCTCCAAATGTGGGTGGGTAAAACAAGGATGTGTACTGGCACCAACTCTCTTTTCCCTATTTTTGGCTGCCTTCCTTACTCATGCAAGTGCCAATTTAGACGGTGGGGTGGATATCCAGTACTGGATAAAGGGAATGTTCAACATAAGCCAACTCCCAGCAGGAACAAAGGTGTCGGCCACTTCCATCATTGAACTTCAGTATGCAGACAACCTCACCCTCGTTGCTCACACTGAATGTGACCTACAGGAGATCCTGAACACCTTTGCAGATGTGCATCCACACTTCAGCCTTGAGGTGAATGTACGTTAAGACTTTCAGCCTACCCCTGGTTCAGCCACACCTCCACCATCCATCCAGATTAACAATACTACCCTTTCTATTGTTACCCACTTTCAGTACCTTGGCTCCCACCCATGTCTTCAGCTGTAGGGAGCTGAAAATATCTACAAAGTTGCACATATATCGAGCAGTGGTCCTCCCTACCCTGCTATATGGCAGCGAGACATGGGCCACATACAGGAGGCACCTCAAGGCACTTGAAAACTTTCACCAACGTAGTCTACATTTCATCCACCATGTTTGCTGAGAAAACAAGAAAAAATGCCAGTATTCTCATTGGCACCAACCATAGAAGCATTGAGGTTACCATTGCCCATGAATAACTACACTGGACTGGCCATGTTACCCACATGGATGACAGTAGACTGCCAATACACCTAATTTACAGTCACCTACCTTATGGTAAACATAATGCTGGCAGGCAACTGTAAAGGTATAAGGACAGTCTTAACACAAACCTGAAAAGTGCCAAATCGACCTCCTCACCTGGGAGACGATTACTCCACACCGTAATGCTTGGAGGAGCACCACACACGGTGTCAATACCTTCGAGTTAGCCTGACTGCATATTGAGGCAGACAAGCGCCAATGCCAGAAAGGCGCTGCGTCGCCCGTTCCACACTAGATGTAGCCCTCCACACGTGCAACTTCTGTGGACGGCCCTGCCGGTCTTGTATTGACCTCTCGAGTCACCTTAGAGCTCACCAACGAAGGCGACAACTAAAATAGGAGTTACAAATGCACAAGAGATCTGACGTATTACCCCATATAAGTCAAAATAGGTAGTTTAGATGTACAAGAACCTAAATACCTTTACCAAAATATTAGTTATTTCCTATTCTACTCTTCTAAAGTAGAACAGGATTCCTTTCTGTGAATAGAACCATTCCCATGGTCTAAACATGGCACTGTTTGGCCATCTTCCTCCGCCCATTTCACATGTCATAACTGATATCTCACAAAACACAATCTTAACCAAATGCATTCCACCTGCAACTGTTGTAATTTTTTCGATAAGAAAGCTTTAGTCTTCTACAGAAAAATTTCGTCAGGTAACTAAGACTGAAACACTTTCGTCAAATATTACCAAACCCACTTCCAACGGCACACATAACCCACAAGATACATACTTCAGTGTCAAGGAGGATGTCACTCAAGGAACCTTACCTTTCTAGCTCCTACAGCATTGTATCAACCAACACACGGTACTCCATCAGCTACCTGACAACACACAGGCTGAAGGTATTGTGTTGCTTACCAGTAATGAGTTCACGATACCACACATTAACAACGGTGTGGGCATGCTTCTTGTGATGAATTAGCCATAGTGACACCGTCTGGATAGACTGTTGCGACATGTTCAAGTCGTCCAGTTTCTTTTTCAGCCCATCTTCGTTAAAATTGGCCATGGTTGCCTCCTACGGCCACTAATAACTTCTGGAAACGCCACTCAGTAGCTCGATGTTTGTGATGCTTCTTCCTGCAGGCCACAACACCACGTCACGCGCCTCCCAACCCCTGCACCCAACTCCCATATTACACTGAAATCCTTATCTAAAAGCAAAATACTGGACGATTTCCGTATAAAAATCCCATTTACTGCTAAATTAATGTATTCATATGTCCTTCAGGCAGTCATTCTTTAACTGAAAAGAACATAATATATATACTGTCATTAAATTAATGTCAATTTCCACAAAGTTATTCGAACACTTCCTAACCAAAACATAGTTCTCTTGCTACCACAAAAAGATCAGGAGATACAACACTGTAGGGAGCGTGGCAATTAACATCTAATGTTAAGGGTTTTGTCTGCTTTATTTCCATTATGTCAGTATATTTTCTTACCAGCATATTGATATTCCTTTACTTTTATTACGGTGAAAATTGGACATTATTCCATAGGTCATCAACTTCGGGAAAAGCTTAATAATAGAAATTTAATTATGAAATTACACATACAGTAGACATAGTATGCTTGTATTAAAATGGTCGATGGAGATAAAAATTTAGATGAGCTGTCGGACTGCATCCGTGAAACCCAAAATTCATGTAGTTCGCATTAAATTCGTCTCTCGTAATGATCTTCAAGAGTAAAGTGCTTCCCCGTCTGGAGTACTGTCACCCCGTCTGGTCCCCGAGATATGCTAGGGACTGTCAGTTGATCGGAAAATGTCCAAATGAGGGCCACCAGACTGGTGCCTGTGTCGTGCGACAAGCATTCCTGGGTAAATGCTTAGTTTTGGGTATTAAATTTAATTATAAAGTTAGTAAAATTCATACGACTTTGGCGGTTCTCCAGTTCGCTTAAGTGTTTATTGTTTACTTCTTCACGCGGTGCACACATGAGCAGCCTCCACCATCGGTTAAGTAGGGTAAGATTTTGTAATGTTAGGTTAGGGCAGATTAGGTCAGGAGTCCTTGGGTTTGATTGGTTCATTTTTTGTGTTCTTACCCCACAATTTCCATCGACTTCAAAACACTGCCCACTTTGTGCTTTCATTGTCTTTGGTAATATGTTTCATATCATCCTTATACTGTAGTCAGTTTGCCCAAGATATTGTGGAGGTATGAGATATTAGTTCACACTCAGGATGGGATGGAGAAAGGAAACTCACAATGTGCTCACTGTATACATATTGTATCGGATGTACAATGCAGCTTGTTGCTGGGTAGGTAGCATGGTAATAAGCGTTGAGTAGAGAGAGCTGGGTGGTGAGGGTGCCCAGAGGAGGGACACACGGCTTGAGGGACGCCAAGGTTGCTGGCGCGGAGGAGATGGTGTTGCTTGAAGGTGGCACTGGGTAGAAAAGAGGGTGGTCACAGCGGTGTCAGGTCTTATAAGGCGGGGGTAGGCGTGGGTAGATAGTTGACCCCCGCTCCGTGGGCGGCGCTGGAGGCGTAGGCTGGGGAATTCGAGAAGGTTCGGTGCTTGTAGGGGAGGAATCCACTACAATACTCCCCTTCCCCTCCGGGTGCGGCTGGAGGTTGGCAGAGCTGCGTGCAACATGTGAGGCAGAACGGGCGGTGCATGCCACATGTGGGACATAACAGCGAGGGCGTGGATGAGCCGGCCGCTAGGGGGGCAACTCTGTCTAGCTACATGAGATCTGTGGGAGAAAAGATGGAGAAGGAGGGTTGTGGGGGTGATGAATGTTGTGCTTCACTCGCGACAGGTATAGAGTCCTCAGATGCGCCTGCTGGGGTGTGTGGGCCTGGGTCAGGAGCATGGGGCTACGTTAGGAAGAGTGTCCATGACAGCAGCAGGGTGCATGACAGCAGCAGGGTCCACGACAGCAGCAGGGTGCAGGACAGCAGCAGTGGGTACCTGGGGGAGAAAAGAGGGGTGTGTGGGTCCGCGTCAGGAGCAGGGGGTACTGCTGGGCCGGGGGCGGCGTCTGAGGCAGGACGGGTGTGTTGGGGTCGGTAGGACGTGCTTGGCCAGGAAGAGGAGCGGCTGTCTGCTAAGAGTAGCAGAGCTGCTCTAGGGTGTCTAACCTGCGGTGTAGAGAGAGTAGTTGTAGAGCCGATGAGAGCTGCCCCTGTGTGGATAAGCAAGACTTCCATGTTGCTTGAAGACTGGGAGAGTGATCAGTTTCTCCACCATCCTGTGTGAGTGCAAACCTCCGGGGGTCACCATTTGTGGAGGTATGAGATATTGGTTCACACTCAGGATGGGTTGGAGAAAGGAAACTCACAATGTGCTCACTGTATACATATTGTATCGGATGTACAATGCAGCTTGTTGCTGGGTAGGTAGCATAGTAATAAGCGTTGAGTAGAGAGAGCTGGGTGGTGAGGGTGCCCAGAGGAGGGACACACGGCTCGAGGGACGCCAAGGTTGCTGGCGGGAGCGGCAGCCGCCAGGCTGGCGCGGAGGAGATGGTGTTGCTTGAAGGTGGCACTGGGTAGAAAAGAGGGTGGTCACAGCGGTGTCAGGTCTTATAAGGCGTGGGTAGATAGTTGACCCCCGCTCCGTGGGCGGCGCTGGAGGCGTAGGCTGGGGAATTCGAGAAGGTTCGGTGCTTGTAGGGGAGGAATCCACTACAATATAATGGGAAATTCATTCAAAACCTTCCGTTACCGTATTTATTAATATTTTCTGCTCTCACAAACCAACCACAAATCAATCATACATCTTAGATGTCGATAATGAACATCAGTAATTGCTGAGCTCGGAAGGTTTATCACACCGGAAGATTTGTCGCATGACACCTGCACTACGGTACCCCAGCTACCCTGAGAGATTAGAGCGCCTCAAATTGCCCAGCTTATGCTACAAACAGGCAAGGGCAGACCTAGTTGAGATGTTTCAGCATCTCAAAGGGCACTACTCAGTCGAGTGCCCTTACCTGGAGCTGGCAGACGCTCGCCCCACAAGGGATCACAGCTCAAGGTTGAAGAAGCCGCAAGTCCAGAAAACTGTGGGGTAACTTTTTCGGATTGGGAGTTGTGAACTCTTGGAACAATCTACCAGAGAGTGTTGTGACGGCACCGAGTGTGAGCTCTTTCAAAACCAGACTTGACAAGCATTGGAGCAGGTTCCGATACATCCAGGAGCCAGTGCATGCCCAGTACTTGCCAACAGTGCGTAACAGAGACGTGACCGATCGCCCTCTTTTGTGGTAAAGAGGATAAAAGTTAAAAAGTGTTTATACTATAATACTTTAATATTAACACAGCCCACAAAAAGTTCATTTTTTTCCATCAGTCTGTTACCTATTTATCTTTCGTAAAGAAGTCACGAAAAATCGATATTTAACTCCCAGTTTGTAGAAACTCAACACATGTATTGTCAAGTCATAATTCCGATCTGACCTATCAGCATCATTACACGTTCAGTTAAGCTTACAGTACACACACACACACACACACACACACACACACACACACACACACACACATACATACAGATTTACACGCATCCAGACACAGACATACACAGAACCTCCTTGGCTAAAAAAAAAAAAGAGATAAACTTTTTTAAATTTATAGTCCTGGCAACAGAAGAGTTGACGAGGTCCATGTTGAGAAAATAGTTGTGCCAGTCTGCGACAACGTTATACCGTGATGTAATACTATCTTTGAAATACAAGATAAGGCGTTAGAGGGAGAGTTATGATATCATTCACGGCGACTTTTAACACATGAGATCCCGAATTTGTTTATTTCAGTGATGTAGGCCCGTATGTCAAGGAGAAGGTAGTCCATGTGGATGAATAATTCGGCAAATAACGTCATGTAGCTAAAAGATACACACACACACACACACACACACACACACATATATATATATATATATATATATATATATATATATATATATATATATATATATATATATATAATTATTATTAATATTACACACACTCCTAAATGAAAATATAAATTCATAAATGGTAATACACGCACATACACACACACACACACACACCTAAGTGAAATATAAATTCATAAATGGTAATAACATTCTCAAACTAGAGAATTTTTTAAACTATTATAAAGAGATGCTATACCGGTGTAATATAGTGGGTGCTGACAGAGAAGTCACCAGAAGGAAACATTATCATTTCCGCTCTGGCCTGATAATGTGAGTTTATGTACAGTGAGGGCAGATAAAGATTGTTTAAAAAACAAAATCGGATCACCTGAAAATTAGACACCCCAGCCTATATCATCTGAGATTACCTATACTAACGCCTAATTCCTGGGGATTATGTGTACTTAGGTTAGGTTAGCCTTAGGTTTAGTCCAATTAGGTTAGGTCAGCACTAAGTTGGGCTAGATTAGGTAAGCTTTCAGTTGTGACTGAGTTTGAGAAACTATGTTGACAATGATGGGCTGTGCTTATTCACCTTGTTAGTCGAAGCACCTAAAACAACAACAGATTTAAATGAACCTCGGCAGTTAAGAATACCTAATATACAATAATCATAAAGTAAATGTTTAATGTCTTGTGACAGTTCGTCTCTATTGTACCCTTAGTAGAGTTACAGCCACAAGTACTGAACTAGCACTTCCTTAAGTAGCCCCGAGGAATCATTGGACGGTGGCACCACTACAGATGATGATCATGATGATCAAGTTTGATTCACATCGGGTCAGATAATTATTCTCTACATCTGTTATTATTAAAAGATATGCTCGATAGTGTTGCGTAAACAGTTAGTGATGACCTTCAACGTTTCGCCCCGAGTAGGCAAATTACCAGAATAGTTGAACACAGCATATATAACAGCATTATTCAAAAGGGAAAATAGGAAAAAACAAAGCAATTATGAATTTCTGATTCTCACCTGCTTCTTGACCAACACTGGAGCGGGTTCAGGTACATTCAGGAGCCAGTGCATGCCCAGTACTTGCCAACAGTGCGTAACAGAGACGTGACCGATCACCCAAGCGGCTAACGAGCCGATCAGTGGTGAAGAGGATAAAAACAAAAAACAAGATTAGGAGGTCCGTAATTAGGGATCGTTTCCTGAGTCAGATAAAGCCACATGGTCATTGACA